GGGTGCCATGTCATCTGCTGGTGTTGGTTCACTGTGTTTTCTGAGGTCCAAGGTCAACGTAGCAGTCTACCAGGAAGTTTTAGAAAACTTCCTGCTTCCTGCTGCTGAACAACTTTATGGAGATGCAGATTTCATTTTCCAGCAGGACTTGGCACCTGCACACGGTGCCAACGCTACCAGTACCTGGTTTAAGGACCGTGGTATCCATGTTCTTATTTGGCCATCAAACAGGCCTGACCTTCACCCCATAGAAAATCCATGGTGTTATTGTGAAGAGGAAGATGTGATACACCAGACACAACAATTCAGAAGAGCTGAAGGCCACGATCAGAACAACCTGGACTCAGAACACCTGAGCAGAGACACAGACTGATCCACTCCATGACACGACGCATTGCTGCAGTAATCCAGATAAAGGAGCAACAACTAAGTATTGATGCTGTACATGCTCATACTTTATGTTCATACTTTTCAGTTGGCCAACATTTATAAAAATACTTTTTTTTTTTTTTGGTCTTAATATTTTAATTTTCTGAGCTACTGAAGTTGGGGTTTTCATTAGTTGTCAGTTATAATCATTCACATTAAAAGAAATAAACATTTAAAGTATATCAGTCTGTGTGTAATGAATTAATACAACATACAAGTTTCACTTTTTGAATGGAATTACTGAAATAAACTAACTTTTTCATAATATTCTAATTTTTTGCCCAGCACCTGTACTAGTTTTAATGGTTGGATGTACGACTCTTATTTTGAAGTCTTGCTCACGTGTTTCCTGCTAGCAAGATGAAAGCGGGTAAGATTCGAAGGGTGCATCGTTATAAAATGATTGTAAACTCAGGGAGTTATTTACTTACATTTTCTGCTTTCTCTTTAGCTTAAATCGCGTAACATCTGAGCTGTTTTACCTGTAACCAGGTGAGCAACATAAAATTCACCTCTCGTTAGCCAACAAACTAGCTAGCTTGTTTGTTTACCAGCCATGATTCCAGCAGTTTATTTTTATTTACCTTCTCGGAATCCTCCATAGCTAAATTTGCGGGATTAACAGATTGAGTGTCGATTTGTAGCTGCTTAATTGTCATTCCTGAGGCAGTTTAATTAAACTATTAATGCCAACAACCTGCATTTCTTTCATGTCAGCCTTACATTAAAACTTAGTTAGTTTTACGTTGGATGTTGGAGCTCCGCGGCTTCAGCGGGGTGTTGCTCTCTCGTCAATCCGCTTCAGGCTGTCTGATTTCGGTCAGCCGCGCTCAACCTGCCCCTACTCAGAGACTTAATGGCTCGCTTAGGGACCGTCAACAAATTATCGAACGCAGTCACTCTTCAGAAACAAAAAAAATGATTTATACCATACCACTTTATTTATAAAGCACTTAAAACAGCAACAAGGCCAACCAAAGTGCTGTACAGACAAAACAGGTAACACACAAAGCAAAATAGAAAATGAAGTAAATCAGAATATAGACATACGGATGCAGATAATGACGACAAACCAGTGTGGAGCGTACAGGTTCAAAACACAGATCCTCTGGTGTTGAAAGCTACTGAATAGTAGTGTGTTTTAAAACGGGATTTGAAAACCAAGAGGGAGGGGGCCTGTCTGACAAGCAGAGGTAACTCGTTCCAAAGTCTTGGTCCTGCTACAGAGAAGGACCTGTCACCTCTGCGTTTAAGACGAGTTCCTGGAACTGTGAGGAGTAACTGGTCCGCTGACCTCAGGGAACGTGGTGGGACATACGGTTGTAGCAAATCAGAGAGATGGGGGGGAGAGACACTGTTCAGTGATTTGTAGACATACATGAGTATTTTGAACTGGATTCGAAAGTGAACCGGTAACCAGTGCAGTGAGGCCAAAACTGGAGTAATGTGCTCTCTTTTGCCTGTACTGGTTAAAATTGGGCTGCTGTATTCTGGACCAGTTGTAGTCGTGCAATGGAGGTCTGACTGATACCAAACAGGAGTGAATTGCAGTAATCAAGCCTAGATGTAATGAATGCATGTATTACTGTCTCCAGGTTATTTCTGGACAATATGGGCTTCAGTTTAGACAGCCGCCTCAGTTGGAAGAAGCATGATTTAACAATCATATTTACATGATTGTTAAGTTTCAGGGAAGGGTCCATTATCACGTCCAGATTAGTGACTCTTTGTTTTTCTGACAGGGTTAGAGCGGAGAGGTCGATACAGTGGTTTGTGATCGTGTCGTTGGGAGGGAACAACATGACTTCAGACTTCTTTTCATTGAAACTTAAGAAATTTAAAGCCATCCAGTCCCTGATGTCAGCCAGGCAGTCGAGCAGAGGTTGAATAGAGCATGTACCATTGTGTCTTAGGGGGAAGTAAATTTGACAGTCATCAGCATAGAAGTGGAAGGGCATGTTGTGTTTCCGGAAAATAGCATCAAGCGGCAGCAGGTATAAAGAGAATAGGAGGGGACCCAGTATGGACCCCTGCGGAACCCCCCATTTAAGCTCTGCCCCTGCAGAACTAAAATCCTTGATGGAGACACAAAATGATCTGTCAGTGAGGTAAGATCTGAACCAATTGAGGGCTCATCCTGTGATGCCCACCCACTGCTCCAACCTAGCAATGAGGATCTCATGGTCCATGGTGTCAAAGGCGGCTGTGAGGTCCAACAGGACAAGCAGCACAGAATCACCGGTATCTGTGAATCTGAAGATGTTGTTAAAGACCTTCAGCAGGGCAGTTTCAGTGCTGTGGAGAGGTTTAAAGCCAGATTGGAATAGCTCTAAGATAGCGTGATCCTCCAGGAAGCACTTCAACTGGGACTCGACTATTTTCTCCAGTACTTTAGAAACAAATGGGAGTTTGGAGACAGGCCGGTAGTTGGAAACGAGTGAGGGGTCAGGGTTTGTTTTTTTTAGGAGAGGCTGGACAGCAGCATGTTTAAAGTATTTTGGCACCACGCCAGTGGATAAACTACTGTTTACTATATCAAGAATGGACGGGCCTAGAGTAGGAATAACCTCCTTTAGTAGTCGAGGGGGGACCACATCAAAGGGGGAACCAGAAGGTTTCAAGCTGCACATGACCTGCTCTAGAGAAGATAGAGTGATGGGTTCAAAATGGTCAAAAGGAGCTACAGATTGAGGTGGGATGGATGGGTCATGAGTTGGAGGGGAAATGAGAGCCCTGGTGGTTGCAATTTTTTCCACAAAGAAATGTAAGAAGTTGTTGCACAGCTCAGTCGAGGCTTCCAGAGGTGATGGTTCAGTGAGGTGGAGAACAGAGTTTAGGGTGGAGAAGAGGACACGTGGGTTGTGAGAGTTTGAGGTAATTATATCAGAGAAGAATTTTGATTTAGCAGCTTTTACTGTTTTCTGATAACAGCGCCAACTCTCTTTAAGTATCTGGAAAGAGACCTGCAGCCTGTCTTTCCTCCACTTTCGTTCCGCCCTCCTACATTGCTGCCTAACGGCCTTGGTGACGTCACTCAGCCAAGGTTCTGCTCTGAGTTTTTTTTTTTTTTTTTTAACAGGTGCAACATGATCCAGAGTCTTTAAGCAGACAGAGTTGAACTAGGATGTCATCTCCTCAGTGGTGGTGAGAAACACCGGGGGCTGAATGATCATTTCAGAGTTATAAACATCTGTGAAACGTGTGGCAGTGAAGTGGTTAATGGTCCGAGTCCTACGTGCAGGAATGCACGACTTAGGAGTTAGATGGGGGAGGGTGAACTCAAACCGGACTGGCATGTGGTCTGAAAAAACATTATCACCAATAACAAGATTATTAACAGTCACATCATGAGTTAAAACAAGGTCCAGTGTATGTCCACACTCTTGGGTGGGACCGTTTACATGCTGAGTTAGATTAAATGAGTCCAATAGATCTAAAAAGTCCTTAACCAAGGGCTTCTCAGGACAGCACACGTGCAAATTAAAGTCCCCAATAATGAAAAGATGCTCATATTTTGGTGTGATTTCAGCCAAGAAGTCAGAAAACTCATTTATGAAATCCTTAGATCGAGGTGGGCGGTAGACGAGTGCAAATAACGTCGGAGGTGAATGTCCGAGTTCAAAGATGCTCAGCTCAAAGCTGGCGCGGGAAACTGGGATGGGCAGTTGTTTACAGTCAAAAGTTGATTTGAATATTGTTAATAATCCACCACCGCGCCGGCCTGATGGCCGCGGGCGTTAAAACACAGACTGTTCGGTGGCAGTAATTCCATCAAGGCGCTGGACTCACCCGGAGACATCCAAGTCTCTGTGATGCACAGAAAGTCCAAATCGTGCTCTTGAAAGTGGTCCCTGAGGATAAAAGTTTTGTTGGTAACAGATCTATGAGATTTATGAAATATTAAATTATGTAAAATTATGAAATGCATAAAAAATGAAAAATAAACAGGTGTACCTCGTCTTACTGGTCTTGGAGAGTAGTTTGGTGTAAGTTTTGCGTGCGTTGGTCAAAAGACTGGAACGTTATTGAGCAAAAACCCTGATTTATGACTATTTAAATTATTTTAATATTATGAAATGCATAAAAATGATCAATAAACACATGTGCATCGTCTGACTGGTCTTGTAGAGTAGTTTTATCTAAGTTTTGGGTGAGTGGGGCAAATCATGTAAAATATATTGCTTTTTGTTTCTGAAGAGTGACTGCGTTCGATAATTTGTTGACGGTCCCTAAGCGAACCATTAAGTCTCTGAGTTGGGCTGGTTGAGCGCGGCTGACCGAAATCAGACAGCCTGAAGCGGATTGACGAGAGCAACACACCACTGAAGCCGCGGAGCTCCAACGTCCAACGTAAAACTAACTGTTCACTGACAAATGATCTTGACCTGTATTTGAGTAGGTTGCTGTATGGCAGTGAGTTGAGCCACTCAGGCAGACAGCCTCAAAGTTTTGAACCTTTCACTCAAGTTGAACTGAACATGTTGACTGGTTGACTGGTTTTGTTTCCGACTTCTTCTAGTCATTTGATCTGCAGCAGTGAATTTAAGATGGTTTGGTTTTGCTTGTCTGCAGGTATTTTGTAAAATGGCAGCCGTCTGATAAAAAGAGGAAATGAGTGATTCCTGGTTGACAGAGTTGGTCTCTGGCCTCTGTCACACAGACCAGGGTAATCCTTTCCCTCTGTGGCAGGATGGACACATCGGCTCCTGCTTCAACCAGCTCGTCCTTGGCGCCTTGCCTTATGCTGGGATGGCAGTTTTCAGTGCCTGTTATCTGGGCATGCCAAGGTAGGTCAAGAGATGAGGGTAACCCCTCTAAGTTTAGCCGTTTAGGAACATTTGAGCATTTATTGGAAACATGTTAGAAAATGAGTTATTTACAAGATTAAGGTTGTCATGAAATGTTAGGGTTGAACAGGACACAAATCCATCACAGGGCCACATGGAGACAAACAAGATACACAAAGTGGAGTACAAGGAGAAAACCCACACATGCACATGCTTATCTGTTCCACACAGAAAGGCCAGGAGGTGAACCTGCGATCTTCTCGCTCTGAGGCAACCGCACCAACTACCGTATTTTCTGCCGTACACGTCGCACCTCATAAGTCGCATCAGTCCAATTATGTCTAATAAAGTGGAAAAATCCATAAATATGTTGCTTCTAGTATGCGTCACCAATGACGCGTCGCGTTCGTTGTGTCACCACTGACATCCCAGAAATGTGGGCCTGTGTTGTGCCAAAAATCAATTGGCTGCCAAATGGCGGCCATGGGAGCGTGCACGGGAGGACTTTAACAAGAATTTAACAAGATTAACACTTAAAAACAATTACTTGTTTGCTCGACTTTATAGTGAAGGTGGTCTCAGTCTAACTTTTACTTAATAAATGCACTTTAATGGTCAAACCAGCTGCATTTCGCCGGGGCGGCGCAGAGAAATGAAGCTGATTTGACGGTTCCTCCCCAGGCGAGCTGGATGAAGGTGGCAGTGTATGGCAAGCCGATTGTGTCATTAATAGCCACTTTTACCTATTACATGATAAAGCGGCATGCCATACTACTCAAGGGCCATTTAGCAACTGATAATGGTAGTGTTCAATATTTTCAGTCAGAATGAATGAAAACGGTCAGATCTCAGCCAAAAACTGGTTTATAAATGTGGGAAAAAATCCATTAATAAGTCGCCTCGGCGTGTAAGTCGCAGGACATGCGAATTATGGGAAAAAACTGCGACTTTTACAGCGAAAAATTCGGTACTCCTTTACCGTTCCGCCCCTGGTTTTAATTCAGAAAAATCAAAACATAATCACAACAGTGGTCACATTTAACTTTTATGAAATGTTTGGTCTGTTTCTGTTGGACAGGTGACGTTTTGAATCTAAACATCTGCATAAAATTAAGGTGTTTGATTAACTCTTTCTGCTTTGCAGAAGTGGCCTTTTCCAAACATCTCCTCCGATTGGATGGATGCTCAGGCTTGTGTCAGCTCTGCTAGCGGCATCGCTTTTCACTGCAGACATCATGGTGGCGAGCGTCCTCCAGCAGGGGGACATGTACCTGGACATTCTTACTGACAGCTGTGCAGTCCTGGCCTGGCTGGTCCACTGTGGTGCCATCCAAGTGCTCCTGAGGACAAGTTTCAGGAGAACCAGAGGACCTCCGCTGCTGCTGGTTATGACTCTTCTGTTAGTGCCCAACCTTGTCTTCACCTTGATGATTTACTGTGGCCAAAAGGAATATTTAAGCTTTACTGAACCTCTTAAACTGGGAAGAGTTGTTCTTGCCTCAGCTCGCTCGCTCCTGTTTCTAGTTTACCTCCTTGCATTTGCTTTTCCCTGCATCAGGGATACGGAGTACACCTTGTTTGTTAATGCTGTGGATGGACCTCCACTTCCTTCAGAGAGCACTCGAGCAAACACAGGTGAGATGGTAGCTGAGGACGGGAGTAGTTGCCTCTCTCGTCTCTTTTACCTGTGGTTGAATCCTCTGCTCAGACGAGGACAGCAAGGGGAGCTAGAAAGACCAGCTGATGTGTATCACCTTCCCCGGAAACTTCGAACTGGCGTTGTTCGTCAGTACTTCTGCCAGTGTTGGCAAATGTGCCGACGAGGGGCAGGACTCAGCGACCAGCAGGATCAGCAGCCCAGCCCAGTCAGCAGAAGCCTCCCGAATAGCTCGAGTTATGAGGAGCAACCATTAGAGCTGGGGGGTGATGTTGGATTACTGAGAGTCTTGCACAAAGCTTTTGGCTTGCGGTACTACACCCTTGGTGTTCTGAAAATTATAGTCAACATATCTAGTTTTGCAGGTCCCTTGCTTCTCAGCAGTCTGGTGAACTTTATTGAGGAAACGGGAGCCCCTGTCAGCAGGGGTGTCTGGTTGGCACTGGGGCTTTTTGCTTCAACTCTTCTAAGCTCCGTTCTCGGAAACATTTTTGTCTTTGAGGTCTCCAAGGTGGCGCTGTCAGCTCGCGCTTCTCTTATGTCAGCCATTTATTCCAAATCCCTGAGAGTTAGCAGCTGCAGCCTGGCTGGCTTTTCTTTGGGAGAGTTGGTGAACCAAATGAGCACAGACGTTGCCCGCGTGGTCAACTTCTTCAACAGTTTCCACGAGCTCTGGAGCCTGCCCTTCAGGTTTTCTATCACCCTCTACTTACTGTACCTGCAGGTGGGTGTAGCTTTTCTTGGAGGGCTCTGTGTAGCATTGGTGCTGGTGCCATTCAACATGTTCCTTGCTTCCCGCATCCTTAACTACAACAAACACATGCTGAAGTGCAAAGACGATCGTGTTAAGGTGAGATAAACACCAGCTCACTGTAATGCATTTTCAGAAAAGTCTAAATCTGTTTCCAGTTATGAAACAAAATGTTTGCTGAGATTCAACCATTTCTTTTGTTTTGATTTTCAAGTTGATGACGGAAATCCTCTTTGGAATTCGTGTCATCAAATTCTACAACTGGGAGCCTCATTTTACTCAGAAGGTGACTGAATATCGAAAACAAGAACTGTCCCACCTGAAGGCCGTTAAGTACCTGGATGCCATGTGTGTTTACACCTGGGCCACTCTGCCAGTCGTCATCTCCATCCTCACTTTTGTCACGTTCGTGTTGCTTGGACATCAGCTGACTGCAGCCAAGGTAGGAACTGAGCTGTGGTGACAGTCTTGCTTTGCCTTAGTAACATGCTGTAATCTTTTGGCTCATGAAGCATATTTTCTGGTAAATTTAATCAGTTTCCCTGCAACTGAAAAACAAGAAGTTCATTTAAGGCAGGGGTGTCCAAAGTGGGGCACGTGGGCCACAGTTGGCCCGCCAAGCTGGTCTGAATGACCACTGGTCTGAGTCTGGGTTCCTCCTTTTAACCTGATGGAAAAGGACTCCAGTCAGCCATCAGGTGAAAAGGAGGAACCCAGACCCAGACCAGTGGTCATTCCATATGTTGAGGGAGTATCAGAGAAACTGAGACGTTTATTTTCTAAACACAACGTCCCAGTGGCTTTTAAACCCCAAAATACATTAAAGACTGGTTCATCTCAAAGATCCAGTCCCCCGGCACAAACAGAGTAATGTTGTGTATGTTGTTCAGTGTCAGGAGGGCTGTGATCAGTCTTACATCAGGGAAACTAAACAGCCACTGGCCAAAAGGATGGCCCAGCACAGAAGATCAACAACATCAGACCAGGACTCTGCGGTCTACACTCATCTCCAGGCCAGCGGTCACTCTTTCAGGGATGAAGATGTTCACATCCTGGACAGAGAGGAACGATGGTTTGAGAGAGGAGTAAAGGAGGCCATCTTTGTGAAAAGAAACCGTCCATCATTAAACAGGGGTGGAGGCCTCCGGGTTCAACTGTCCCCCTCTTACAATGCTGTGATTGCTAGTATCACTCAGCCCTCTGTGAATAGTAAACAGCCATCAGGTGCTAATGATCCATTGTTAGGCTGATGGTCCTTCTTGATCATGTGATCAGCTGGTTCTGGTTGTCAGCAACAAACTGGTTGATCCACTCTGAGAAGGTGCTATTTAAGAGACTGAGCTGAATACAGCTCCTCAGACTGAGGAAGTCTCTCGGATGAGAGACGAAACGTTTCTACATTTTTTTGCTTTGTTTTGTTTTTTGTTGTTTTGAATGTCCAGAGGACCAGATTGAACTTTTTTGGATACTATAATAAACCTTTGTAAAATACACCAGAATGTGGGAAATGGCATCTACTTTATTCAAAATTCTCTGAGGAAGGACCCCCAGATACCCCCCACCAACGCAGCTTGTGCTGAAATGTTCTTTATACAGAATGGAAGGTTAAAGAACTGTATAATAAATAAATGGACTTTATTGAAACCATTTCATGTATTATTGCATTAGGCCCGCAGCCCTCTGATACATTTTAAATGTGTCCCTCTCATGGAAAACGTTTGGGCACCCCTGATTTAAGGTAAACATCAGGAATAGAAGAGGAAGTTGAAAGAGACAGGTCACAACAGTGTGACAGTGTTTTTTAATTTTTTTAAATAAATTGTATTTAATTGTAAATGTAACCAGTGACATCAGCAGTGAGCTGCAATACTGGGACAGTTCCAGCAGGAATATCATGTTATATTTTCTCCAACGTGAAATTCTTGCTGCCCTAAAGGTTTGAATTATAACATCTGCACAAACAGATATAAAACTTTAAAGATAGTTTTTATTTTAATACGACAAAATAAAAGTCTGTTTGGAAGTGGGTTCTCTTGGACGGTACTGACCAACAATGGCTTGTTTGAGCCGACACACTTACAGAACTGCTTACTGTCATCTTTAAACAGCTCCAATTTTCTAAAATTTCCTACTTTTTTTACCTTTATATCTCTATCATTACTGTTATTCAGCAGAAATATTTTAAAGTCCTGCTCGAAGTGTCTGAACTTGCTGCTGCTGCTATTTGTGTTGTAATAAAGCACAGAGTTGTTTGTGTAATTGAAGGTGTATGAAATCTCTAAAATATTCATAAGAACCTCTATGAAATGTTGGAAGTTGGTGCTGAGTTAAGATGCAGAAATTCACTTTTTCTCTGATCTGCAGCAGTTCAAGAAGCTCTTTATAAGTGGGCTAAAAGTGATTTTATAGTTTACTGCAAATACCATTTCATAATATCTAATATCACATCACACTTTAAATGTGTCAAACCCTTTAAAAAAATGCTTTTTCCAGAATGAAGCCCACAAACTGCCCAGGAAAGTTTGAGTTTTGCTGTGAAAAGTTTAAAAAGTGTGTAAGATAAGTGAGTGAAGGTCTGGTTCTGCGCTGCAGGTGTTCACCACCCTGGCGCTGGTGGGAATGTTGATCGTTCCTCTCAATGCTTTCCCCTGGGTGCTCAACGGCATTCTGGAGGCCAAAGTATCTCTGGAACGAATCCAGCGCTTCTTCAAACTGACCAATCAGGATCTGCAGCTGCACTACACCCCAGGTAGGCTGCTGCTTTTGTCTTTGTACGGGTGTTTGTATTTAAGTTTTTGTTTTCTTCTTTCGGCTGCTCCCTTCCTCAGGGTACAGCGAACTAACTCGTATGAAGACTTGACAATTGATTTTACGCCGGATGTCCTTCCTGACACAACCACGGACCACCGAGCTGCCACAGCCCTCTGTGTGGAGCAGAGCGCTGCAGTCTAGGGCGTCCGGGGGAGCAGAATCAGAATAAGCTTTATTATCATTGCACCGAGATACAACAAGAACATGTCCGTACATCTGTCTGAAAGATGGGCAGAGTGCACGTAGCTGCTGCTATAAAGCGCAGCCTTCTTATCCTTGTCAGAATACATTTTTTAGATAGAAAAAGGGACAAAGCCATGAGGAGAGGATAGTGGCATTACAAAAAAGATCTTGTCACACCTTGTCCTTACAGGACATGATTTAAGACAACAAAGCTTTTCCTTAGTTTACACATGTCCCAGGAGAAACTGATAAGTCGGCCTGTTAGAGGCCAACCAGGGAGTCGGATTAAGAAAACTTTTTCTTTCTTGTCAGCCTCGAGTCTGTACTGAAACTTCCAAGGTCTGAAATGGTCAGATTAGGGTGCATTCTACTGATCCGTGCTTACGAGCCTCTTCAAGGTCGTTTACATGCTGACGAGTCCTAAAGCCGCAGGTGGCCTGCGATTTAAGTCACTTCCAACTTACGGTTTCGCTCGTAAATCAGCTGATTTTGAGTCCTCCCAGCACGAACCAAAACATAGGCAGCAGCCTGACGAGGTCCAAATTAGCTGCGACCGTCTTCTTTGTACGTTGATAAACCAGGATCCAGACTATTCCAAAAACACCAAACCTGTTGTCATAAATCCAATTAGATGCAATTCCAACGTCCTCGTTCGACAGCAGAGGTAGACACATCACCCCCAGAGATTTATCCAGCTGCATGTGTGTCGTCCGAGCAGATGAGGGTTCTCCAGGACCCTGTCGCTTTGTTGAAAAGATTTTGTCATTTGCGTTGAAAGTCCAGTTGATCAGATCTAAAACAGTAGTTTTCATTTCGGAAGATGTAAAAAAAATAGGAGCTGCTCCGATACAGAGCAAAAAAGCAGGAGGAGAACAGGGAGCGGGAAGGAATGTGTGCGCCTCGTTAGAGAGCCAGTGGGGGGGTGTTAAGTGCCTTGCTCACGGGCCCAGAGTGGGGCAAATGAGGGTGGAGGTAGGTGTGGGTGCTTAACCTTTCCCACCCACGTTTAGATGTTGTCAGTCCAGGGAGTTGAACTGGTGACCATCCACCAGATGTTAATATTTAGTTAATTAATCTTATTTGACTCAAGTTCATCCGTTGAGGACAAAAGAGTGTTTTATTTTAGATCAGTGTTGTATTTCATAGATTACTGTAGGTAAAAATGTTCGGCTGTGTTTTTCACCTTTTTTTCCTCACATGTTTTGGAGTTTCTTTGTCTTGTTTTATCGCGTTATTGTTTTGAAGGGTTATCTTCCTTCAAAATTAAAGTATGAACGATAAAAAGAAATTCTGTAAAAGATTTAGAAAAATGAGGCTATCTTGCTTTTCTGCATTAGAAATTTTCACTGCTCTTTGTTGATTTGTTTTTCTTTGTGTTGAAATAAATTTGTAGTGTCTCCTGAAGACAATCAGACGTCAGTCCTCTTGAGACAGGGGACATTTTCTTGGGAGTGTCCAAAAAGTAGTGAAGAGGGAGACACGGGAAGTGAAGCTGCTAAAGGAAGTCTCCTGCTTCATAATCTGAATCTTCATGTAACTAAGGTACACTGCTTTTGTTCACGTACTGCACCTTTGCTCTTTGTTTGTTTTCCATGCAGAACTGGTTGAGCATGCTCCCCTGCCTCTGCAAAACATGAGGTTTAAAAATGCTGCAGAATCAGTGAAAAACAACACACACAACATTATTACAGAATTGAGTTTTATTTTTATCTTTTACAATCCTAGATGTACTTAAATTCTGACTAGTTAGTGTTAGTTTAAAAATGATCTTTAATTATTTAAAAGGTAAACTTGTTTTTACATTTACATTGCTTTATTAACCTTTAATGTCAACATGTAAATGGACTGTACTTATATAGCTCCTTTCTATCTAATCAAGACACTCAAAGTGCTTTACACTGCAACCTGTGCCTCATTTACTCATCCATACAGCTCTCTACAAATGTTGTTGTAACTCATAATCCTGGTTTCATTAATGAGTTGTTCTAGATGCTGATGGCATCTATATATATTGGAGATGATATAACTCTGGTGATATATATATATATATATATATATGTATGTATACACACACACACACACATACAGACCCTTTCCAAAAAGTTTGAATATCATGGAAAAAGTTGTTTAGCTTCCATAATTCCATTCAAAAAGTTGATCTTTAATAGATGATAGGTTCAGGGCCCACAATTTAAACAATTTCAAGTATTTATTTGTTTATTTTTACATAATTTGGGCTTCCAGCTCATGAAACCCACAAAAACAGGATTAAAAAAAAATTAGAATACTGTGGAGAAATCAACCCAAATTTTGCAGGGCATGAATGTTTTAAACTGAGTGTGACACACTAATCATCTACTAAACTCAAAGCACCTGCACAGGTTTCCCCAGGTGTCATTAAATTGCTACAGTTTGGTTCAATATGGAGAAGACTGCAGACATAACAACTGGCCAGACGACCATCATTGATACCCTCCATAGGATGGGTAAGACACAAAAGTTCATAGCTAAGGAGGCTGGCTGTTCATAGAGTGCTGTGTCCAAGTATATCAATGGAAAGTCTAGTGGAAGAGCAACATGTGGCAGGAGAAGAGCACCAGCAAAAGAGATGACCGTGGGCTTCAGTGGATTATCAAACAGAGAAGATTCCAGAATCTGGCAGAGATCTAGAAAGATTGGAATGAGGCGGGAGTCACAGCTTCAAAAACCACCACATTCAGACTCATTCGGGAGATGGGCTACAACTGTTGGGTTCCTCGGTTCTCTTTTCCAATGAAAGTAAAGTGTGCCTTTCATTCGGAAATCAAGGTCCAAGGGTTTGGAGGAAGAAGGGTGTGGAACAGAACCCATACTGTTTGAGGCCCAGTGCGAAATATCCACAGTCAGTCATGATTTGGGGTGCAATGTCCGATGCAGGTGTTGGTAAACTCTGCTTTCTTAAATCCAAGGTCACCGCACCAGTCTACCAGGATGTTTTAGAGGACTTTATGATTCCTTCTGCTGAGAATATGAATGGAGATGCAGAGTTCATCTTCCAGCAGGACCTGGCCCCTGCCCATGCCGCCAGAAGCACCAAAACCTGGTTTGATGCCCATGCCACAGTGCTTGACTGGCCAGCCAACTCGCTGGACCTAAACCCCATTGAGAATCTATGGGGTATTCTCAAGAGGAAAATGAGGGGCACCAGACCCAACAACAAAGGGCTGACAGCATCAAGGAAATCTGGGCTTCCATAACTCCCAGTCAATGCCACGTCACATCAAGGCAGTGACTAAGGCAAAGAGATTCCCAACCAAGTATTGAAGATTGATATATCGTTTTGAAAGTACCATATTTTGATTGATTTGTTGTGATCCTAATTTCTTTCTTTTTTATCTGCAAAAACTGAGTAGTGTGGGCTGATTTCTCCATAGTATTCAAATTTTTTGAATTCCTGTTTTCATGGGTTTCATGAGCTGGAAGCTCAAATTATGTAAAAATAAACAAATTAATACTTGAAATCATTTAAATTGTGGGCCCTGAATCTATCAACTATTAAAGATTAGCTTTTTGAATGGAATTATGGAAGTTGAACAACTTTTCCTTTATACTGGCAAATGGATGGTAAATGGACTGTACTTATAAAGCGCCTTTCTATCTTATTTCAAGATACTCAAAGTGCTTTACACTACCATCTGTGTCCTCATTTACCCATTCATACAGCACTTTACTAGATCTCTACAAAGCTAATTGAACAAATCATTCTAAAGAAACTAATCAGTGATTTATCACATTCATACACTGATATGACACACATCGGAGGCAATGAGGGGTTCAATGTCTTGTCAGGGACACTTCGGCATGTGACTGCTGGTGGATTCAAACCCCCAACTCTTGCATTGGAGAACGACTGCTCTAACCACTCATCCACAGCCGCCCCAATTTTTTGGAAAGGGTCTGTATATATATATATATACACTTCACTGCCAAAAGTATTCGCTCATCTGCCTTGACTCACATATGAGCTTAAGTGACATCCCATTCCTAATCCATAGGGTTCAATATGACGTTGGTCCATCCTTTGCAGCTAGAACAGCTTCAACTCTTCTGGGAATGCTGTCCACAAGGTTTAGGAGTGTGTTTATGGGGATTTTTGACCATTCTTCCAGAAGCACATTTGTGAGGTCACATACTGATGTTGGATGAGAAGGCCTGGCTATCAGTCTCCGCTCTAATTCATCCCAAAGGTGTTGTGTCAGGTTGAGGTCAGGACTCTGTGTAGGCCAGTCAAGTTCATTCACACCACACTCTGCATCCATGTCTTTATGGACCTTGCTTTGTGCACTGGTGCACAGTTGTGTTGGAAGAGGAAGGGGCCAGCTCCAAACTGTTCCCACAAAGTTGGGAGCATGGAATTGTCCAAAATGTCTTGGTATGCTGAAGCAGTCAGAGTTCCTTTCACTGGAACTAAGGGGCCAAGCCCAGCTCCTGAAAAACAACCCCACACCTTAATCCCCCCTCCACCAAACTTTACACTTGGCACAATGCAGTCAGACAAGTACCGTTCTCCTGGCAACCACCAAACCCAGACTTGTCCATCAGGTTGCCAGATGGAGAAGCATGATTCATCACTCCAGAGAACGCGCCTCCACTGATCTAGAGTCCAGTGGCGGCGTGTTTTACACCACTGCATCCGACACTTTGCATTGCACTTGGTGATGTATGGCTTGGATGCAGCTGCTCGACCATGGAAACCCATTCCATGAAGCTCTCTGCGCACTGCTACTGATCTAATCTGAAGGCCACATGACGTTTGGAGGTCTGTAGTGATCGACTCTGCAGAAAATTGGCGACCTCTTGGCACTATGCGCGTCAGCATCCGCAGACCCCGCTCCGTCAGTTTACGTGGCCTACTACTAATTGGCTGAGTTGCTGTCATTCCCAAACACTTTCATTTTCTTATAATACAGCTGACAGTTGACTGTGGAATATTTAGGAGTGAGGA